AAAATTAATTCCTACCAAACTAAAAATGATTAATGTGTCCCACGTGCTCGCATGGCCTTATGCAGCTGCAGGTGGCGTAAAACATTAACCCTCCCCTCCCCCGAATAAAGGACGACAACATGAAGACAACGGAAAGGTTGGTCGCATCTCACATGTATTTTAAAACGCATTAACAGATTGAATGTATGATCTATTGATTTGTTTTTTGATTGATTGGCATATTATTGGAGGATGTACAGCTTATCCCAAAAGTCGAGCAATATCCTGGTTTAAATAACAAAAGGATTGATTGATATTAGTCTATAATAATATTGAACTGAGCTGCCTCAGAAACAAAACAAGCATTGGCTCTCTAAAAAAGTCCTGGTGTTTTATGAGTGGTCTTTTGGCATTCATTGGTTATTACATCATTCAAATCGTTAATTTCCATGATGGACGAGGGCAGTCAGGTACCTTACGTTTGGGACAACCCATATTATATTTTATATTTACCAATATCATGGAATTAAATTATCATAAATGATGCAGTGTTGGAAAGAGCTGTGATTGAAGATATCAATACGACAATATAAAGGAGAAGAAGGAGATATCTGGGGCATTTGTGAACATACCAAAGTTAAGATGACCCTATCAGCGATGGTAGTGGAGACCAAATGGAGAAAGCAGAAGAAGTAGACCAACTAGCATTTCTAATCACGAGTGAGGAAATCATTGAGGGTCTGGATGTGTCAACACCAGAGGAAGTCGCCACGGACAGACAATTAGTGTGGTGTTCACCGCTCTCTGTCTTGTTCACCTGACGGTGCAGGGAGAAAGTAAAAAAGTAAAGTTGTTCCCGCATCTGATCCGGACACTGGAGATTGCCTTGTTAGTGATACCACTTCCTGGGCTTTCGGCATATTGTGGTAGGGTGGCCAGTTCCTTTCCACGCCGCCTTTACTTCCCCAACTCGAAGTCAGGTACACATTGTGACATTACTGCTGGGTGGCCAGTTCCTTTCCACGCCGCCTTTACTTCCCCAACTCGAAGTCAGGTATCCATTATTGCACGGTGGGCAGGAAGGGGGGGGGGATATATGTCCGAACCAAGGCTCAAACCACGACTTTCCGTTTCGGGATGAGCGCACTAACCGCTCCGCCATTGTACCCAAAGAAGAAAGTTAGTTGTATAATATACTATTACTATGTGACTCACAAAATTGCGCCAGCAGACAACCCAGATCTGTCATCTCGAGCCTGAAAGGAGGAGGACAAGAGTATGGACCATGTGTTCCTGAGATGGCCCTCCAACTATCGTGCCAGAACTCGTCTGCTGGTACATTTCAGTAAACCATTTTCAGCACTTTTCAAGAACCCCGAGCGACTGTTTACTTCCTGTGTGATGTTGGCATAACTGACCGTTTATGGCGCCACAGCGCCAAAGGAAACAGAGAGACAGAGAGAGAGAGAGAGAGAGAGAGAGAGAGAGAGAGAGAGAGAGAGAGAGAGAGAGAGAGAGAGAGAGAGAGAGAGAGAGACTCACCTGTGCGACTTCTCATCACGGTTCTCGTACACCTTGCAGGGCAGGGCGTTCGTGTCGCAGATCTCGTCGTCTTCGTGGGTGATGTTGTTCTGGGGCACAAAGAGCACGTGAGGGTCCTCAAACCACGTGACCACCTTCAGCACGTATTTCTCCGGCTTGCCTTTTGGTGGGATAGAGCTGCCCCCTGGCCAAGTGATTCCATCGACAGTCAAGTTGTGGCCGTTCCATTCAGCGATCTGAAATATGAAAACTCAGTCTTCAAATGTCTGGGGTCGTGGCGTGTATTCGTACACCTTTTTCTAGCTAAACATACTGGAATGTGTCAGGAGACGTGGTGAAAGCAAGCGCTAGTTAAAATTATGCGGTCGAAAAACCGCTTTTTCCCCGCCGATTTGACAATTTTTATGGAATATTTATTTTTGACTCTTAAACTTTTGTGTCCTTTAAAACATACATTTTTTGTGTAGATTTTTTTAAAAATCGTTGCTAAAAGGCAGAAAAAAAGGAAAATGTTGAGTTTCAATTACTCTCAAGCTACGGAAGTCACCAAACTTTGGCAGCCATTTTCTCGCCTATTTTACCTTTTAATTCAGGCGATCCCCCCCGTCCTCAAATGCAAACATCTCGACTTCTATTCCGGACACATGGGTATTTTTTTCATCAAAATCAAAGCAAAAAAGCAAGCTTTAAGATGATACCAATAACTCCGCATGCCCTAAAACTGACGAGCGCCTCATTCCACCGCGTCGTGACACGTTATGATCATATTAGAAAATACATTTCTGAATTTCTCTGCAAAAGATCACGTTTAAAGCTTTACCCCACGACACTTTATTTATAAAAATATACCAAAATAAGTCATTACCAGAGAGCTGAATATTGCAATTGCAAGCATGTAAGCAGAAGAAATGAAACTGCATTTCGTCTTCAAGTTAATTGACAAGTAGTTTCATCTGCTCTGACGGAAACACCTGCTTCTAAATAAAATATCAGAATTTTACTGTTGGTTTGAAACTTAAAGCATTTGCTTATTAAGATTCTTACCTTTATCGCAAGTTTCGAATACATCCCTGTAGATATTGCCCTCTTTTTGTTGCCTACTGATCGGGAATCTCTGCTTCTAGGCAGCTTCCCAGTCCCGGCTCGGTCCTCGATGTCTCTGTCGTTGGGATACTTCTCCTTATCATGTCTTTGTCGGTCATGCTTTTTGTGATGTCTCACAGGCCTCGTGTTCTCAGTGGACTCATCCCCGAGCGTTGTCCCGGCGACATTCCCCTCAGGGGAGAGAGTCACGGCCGTCATCTGAGAGCCGTTTTCGCCACGGGAGAGGGATGAGCCTGTGGGAAGTGCACCTTCCTTTTGTGCTGGTTGAGAACGAGCTGCAGTAGAATCGTCGTCGTCCTCGCTGTCCTCTTCATCTCCCCGTCCGTCGAGGTTAGAATTTCTGTCCCGAGAATAGGGAGACTGAGAGCTTCTGCTTCGGCCTGAAGAGAAGGAAGACCCAGAAGCTCTGTCTCTGCCCCGGGAAAATGGAGAACCTGATGCTCTGTTTCTGTCCGAGCCAAAAGGAGAGGTTCTGTCTCTATTTCTTGAAAATGGTGAACCGGAACTTCTGTTTCTGTCTCTAGAAAATGGAGACCCAGAGCCCCGGTCCCCGGATGTCGAGTTTCTCGACGAGAACCGATTTCTGGATGAAGAAGAGCTAGAAGATCTATCTCCTGAGGTTGTGTTTCCTGCAGAGCCTCCTCTATTCCTGGAAAAAGAGTAGCCTGATCCCCGGCTCCTGTCCGTACTGCCGCCTGTAGACGGACGCCGGTTCAGGA